ACACAAATTTGATGTATTTTTACCTGCATGGTTGAGGCCAGTGTTGAAGAGCCTCATGGTCATTGGTGTAAAGCATGCTCACATAATCCTTCCACTCAATCGCCTTCTCCTTCTCTGGCACGAAGCTCGTTCCGTACTTAACCAGCTTGCTTGGACTCACTTCTTTTAGATACATCGCTTTTTCCTCAGGAGCTTGAGCGAAAAACTCATGAGCCGATGTTTTTAGCAATTCCAACAGGTCCACCGAAACACCATGGTTCACCACCTACCCATTTGCATTTCTTTCTCAAATCATATACATAGTCAAATATGCATTTAATTTGTAAGAGATTGATAAATACACTCAATCTTAATTAAGCATCTTTTATAAGATATAACGCAATTTAATATTCACACGCATATTTTGCTCTTTTTTACACCAACCTAATGTTATGTGTTGGACATTATTTACCTGGAAGAAGCCAAGTGTCTCGGCAGCTTCAACGATCTGTTTGGCCACATCCTTGTGGTGTGGACCGTCTAGCTGGGAAAGATCGATTGTTTCTGCAGCCTCACACGTAGGAGCGTTTGGGGTCGCGATTCGCTCAGCGAGCGGTTGGATGAATGGTTGTGGAACACAAGACAGGCCCAAGTCTATCAGACCCTTCACACCGTGACCTTGTTTGACCACGAAGTTAAACAATGTGGTTTTGTCCTCGAAATTGGCAGCCATTGTCTCTGTCTATACTTCTGTTTGAAAATGAATGTTGAGAGGTCCTAAGAAGTGGACGCGGTATAAATAGTAACGAAAATAGAGAGAAGACTGATTCTTATCTAATTTTTAAATGCAATTTTTGATTATGTGGGATCACGTTATACTAACTTGGTACTCCCCCAAACCAGTACTAGTTGTTTTGTCTAATCACAATCGTGTATAATGCCAAATTTTTATTAAGATATATACCAAATTATCAAACTCTATTAGGATATTGATGTATAGAATCCTAGTTTATCTCTACTTAGCCTTATCTCTAGTAGCTCTTATAAACGTGTCTATATCTCCATCTTGTGAATGAATACGATCAACACTTAACCCAAATTATTTCAATTTTCGATATAAAAATTAGTAATGTATTGAATTTTTTTTTTAAATGAGTTTTTTTTTAAAAACTTAATTGTTGAATTAATATTTTTGATTTTTAAATGAGTATGATGACATATATTCTATAACATAAACATTCACCAACAAATTGTACCTTCGCTATATAAACGCATGCATGTTAATACAAATACAAAGTAAACGTTGAAATAATTCACTTCAACCATTCAATGCTAAATATTTCGATACGCAACTCACTACATTATTAAAGTCTTTCGAGCTAGTTTCTTACTAAAGAATATACATGGTGTGCGTCTTGCCGTTAAACAGAATGACATTCACAATAATAAAAAAAATTGAAGTAGGTACACATATATATGTTTGAGCTAGTGGGTATAGCAAATGTTTTACACTTTTACTTATAGCCATTTTAAAATTCCAGTAGGCTTTCATTTTTAGCTTCTAAAAAAGACTCATTTTTATAATGAATGTTTGATACTAACAAATTCACGCTTAGTTCTAAACAGGTCGTTACCATGAGCCATGCCTCTCTCCAACATTGACATCTTCGCAATCAGTCTTTGACTTTCAAGGTCAACACCTAGCTATACTTAGTTATTATGGGCCTAGAATTAAGCCCAATAAGAACACTAGACTTTATAGTAGAAGCCCACCAAGGCGGATATCTGTTACCATGTGCTCTCAATTATCGCAGTCTTAAAACAAATTTGTACAATTGTACTACTTTTTCTGGATTACGAAAGTTGTGTTACTTTAATAAAACCACAACTATTAATGGATCTCATCTGAACAAATACTGTATTCAATAATTATGCATTGATGATGAATCAATTATGATTTTTATTGTTTATGTTAAGAAGAAGAAAACTCAACAGAAAACAGTTTATGAATTATAAAAATCTAGTTTATGTGTTTCTTTACCACCTAGAATATGCTAAAGCTAGTTAATTAGTTATAGATTTTGAACTAAACTTACTGCAGTATCCACTATCCACCTTTGTTTACGT